GCCAAGTTCCCTGGCAACTCTGCTTTGGTAACGGAGGAAAGAAGCTTCCGTGCTCAGCAGTCCCGTAGCGTCTCAGCTTGGTGGACAGCTGACCCACTGGTGTCATGTCCTAGACACAGCAGAACCCGGCATGAGATGGCGCTGGGTCCTTGTTCAGCCTGGCAGGAGACGACCCAAAACGAGCGGTGGAGACCAGGAAATTCGGTTCCTGGTTCTGCTGGGATCTCGGCTGCAGAAAGGCCCACACGGCCAAGCCTCACCCCCAGCCCTGCACGTGATCATTTCGGATCTGGATTCCTAAGTTCGGGACCTAACACAAGTAAAGGAAGCCCCAACGTTACTTATTTTTAAATTTTTGAGTTAGCGTCTCCCTCTATGGCCCAGGCTGGAGTGCAGTGGCACGCTCACGGCCACCGCAGCCTCGACCTGCTGGGCTCAGATGATCCTTCCGCCTCAGCCTTCCAAGTAGCTAGACTCACAGGTGTGTGCCACCGCGCCGGCTAATTTTTTGATTTATTGTAGAGATGAGGTCTCGCCATGTTGCCCAGGCTGGTCTCCAACCTGCGGGCTCAGGTGATCCTCTCGCCTCTGCCTCCCAAAGTGCTGGGATGACAGGAGTGAGCCACCGCACCCGGCCCCAAAGTTACTTTTAGACCTTGAATTCTCTGTGCTCACTTTCTTATTTTGAATCTTCTTTCCGTTGGTGGAAGTAACTCTTAAGCTCGTTTGTAGTTGGGTTTCTCTGTGAATATCCGAGGATGCCATGACGGTGGCCTTTCCCCCACCTGGCTGTTTCATTGGATATCACTAAGTCATCGTTGCTATCTGCAAAAATTCAGTCAACATCGCCCCACGTCAGTCGAGTTTGCCCAGCAGTTCAGGGCTGCAGCACCCTGGACTTCACCTGGACCCGCCTGGTGGGCCACTCCGACGGATGTAGACACCATCCTCCCACCAGCTGGCCAGTGAAGACAAAGGCAGCAGCTTCGAGGAGCGCCAGGGTTCCGTCCTCTCACCTGGCAGTGAGACGTGACTCTGCCAGTTGGCCCGGAGAGACCAGAAACGTGTCCTCCGACGGCTTGAAAGCGTCTTCTCTCCACTCAGGTCCTTCCTGACGGTCAGGCCTCCCTGGGGTTCCTGCAAGAACTTCGGATCCAGTGGGGCTCTCTCTGAGGCCTGTGGTCCTGTTGGAAGGATCCGTGCTCACCGCGTGCCTGTCCGCCCAGATGGCAAGAAGAGAATTCCACACACCGCCGGGCATGGTGGCTCACACCTGTCATCCCAGCACTTTGGGAGGCGGAGGTGAGAGAATTGCCTGAGTCCAGGGGTTCAAGACCATCCTGGGCAACTTGGCGAGATCTCGTCTCTACAATAAAAATTAAAAAATTAGCTGGGCGAGGTGGCGCATGCCTGTGGTTCCAGTGACTTGGGAGGCAGAGGTGGAAGGACCGCCTGAGCCCAACAGGTCGAGCCTGTGGTGGCCGTGAGCGTGCCACGGCCCTTTAGCTTGGGCGACAGATGGAGACTCGACTCAAAAAAAGTTTTGATTTTTATATTTTCCTTATTGAGACATATAAGCAGGGGCCTAAAGAAGCTGGAATTATCTTTGGAGTACCGGCTTTTCTTCCTAGATGAGTGTTCTAGGAGCCCGTCAGCATCAGTGTGCCAGCTAGCGTTGTGTAAGAATACACAATTTTTTTTTTTGAGTCGGAGTTCTCACCCTGTCGCCCAGGCTGGAGTGCAGTGGCACGCTCACGGCCATGCCAGCCTCGACCTGCTGGGCTCAGGCGACCCTTCCACCTCAGGCTTCCAATCAGTAAACTACAGGCACACGCCACCACGCCCGGCTAATTTTTTGACTTATTGTCGAGATGAGGTCTCGCCAAGTTGCCCAGGCAGGTCTCGAACCCGTGGACTCAGGCAATCCTCTCACCTCGGCCTCCCAAGAAGCGGGGATTACAGTTTTGAGCCACTGCACCCAGCCCACAATTTTTTATAAATAAGTTCCGAGTTTGTGGGCCTCCCCTCATATAGAGAGCATACATACAGAAACGCATAAAAGGAACATAATGAGTTTGAAAAATAAAATGAACACCCGTGTCACCACCAGGCAGGTCGAGAAGCAGGAGACTCACAGACGCTTCGTCCTCCCTTACCACTCCCACATATCTTCCTTCCTCTCCCCAGGAGAGGAAGCCACTGTCCTGGCTGTCGCGATCACCTCCTTCTTCTCTGTATCATTTTGTCACCTACACGCGGATCCCTAACCAATGGAGCTTTGTCTTGAACTTGATGTAGCGTGGACCGTACTGGACTCATATTCTTTGGAGGCCTGCTTCTTTTCCGCAGCTTGGTGGCGGGGCATAGCTGTGGTCCTCTTTTTCTTGGCATCACCTTAGTTTTCCACTCTGTGACGATGTCACCGTGTATGGATCCATCCACTGCTGGTGGACATTTGGGGCGTTTCCAGTTTGAGAATCACAAGCAATGCTTCTGTGACACTGTTGTCTCCATGTTCTCGGGTGTTTAAGGACACAGGGCTCTTTCGTCTTCTTTTGGGAATTCGTTCTCCCTCTGGAATCAGGGCAGTCCTTAGGGGTTGCAGCATTCAAACTAGCTTGCACAAAGACGTAGACAAGAGTGGGAGAAATCATCAAACGTTTCTCCGAGTGTGGTGCGAGGGAACCCACAAGATCGCCCGGCGCGTTCGTCAACTCTCCAGGGCTTCAGAGGCCAGCCCAGGCCTGCAAGAGACCCTCTGGAGAGGAGGCCTGGAGAGCTGCATTCGAGCAAGGTTACCCCGCCCCCCCATGAGTCATAGGGGCATCCCCAGCCCTCCCCCTTTTAATTTTTCTTCCTTTGTCAGCATTCAAGGAGCCTCCCTCTGTGTGGCCACCAGGACCCTCCCCCAATCCCTACTCCACACACCCAATCCTCACCCCGCCTCTGCTGCGGAAGAGTCTGGTCTTCACCGTGTTGGGCTGCTTGGGGCACGTTCCCTTCCCCAGAGCCTTCCGTAGCCCACCCGCGCTCCATTGATCTGGGATCAGTGTTTACCCATGTCTGTCGACTGGCCAAGGCCCACCACTTGTCAAGGCTGACCTCTAGGTAGAAGCTCTGGCGCCTCGTGAAGGGGTAACGCCTCACACCAGCTTTCCCAAGGCACCCTGGGGACATCTGTCAAAGCCGATCCGGGGAGGGTGCGCGGCACCGGCATCACCCTGGCCTTCCGGTGCGTGACCAGGACTCGACCTTCCGTAGATGTCACACGGGGGATGGAGCACATCTCAGAGGTCGACACAAGGCCAGCAGCGCATTCGCGTCCCCACGCCAACCCCGCCCTGCCTCCCCTGTCGGACTCTTTGGGCTGGTACAGACACCGCCTCCGAGCCGCTCTGCCCTGGAGCGCCGGCCCCATCCGTGTGGTCCTGGCTCCTGCATCTTGTCCACGCCCCATTCCGTCACTGCTCTGAACGTTAGAGGCCCTCGGGAGGCTTGTTGTAAGGAACTCCAAAGTCTTTCTGTGACCCGTAGGAGCACCTTACCTACACAGGCACCTAGCTTGCTGTTGCCATTATTGTCTTAAGTAGACTTTTTGTTTTTTTCAGTCCGGAGTCTCGCTCTGTGGGCCAGGCTGGAGGGCAGGGGCACGCTCACGGCCACCGTGGTCTCGACCTGCTGGGCTCAGGCCATCCTCCTGCCTCAGCCTTCCAAGTAGCTGGAACCACAGGCGTGTACCACCACGCCCAGCTGATGTTTTGATGTATGGTAGAGACGAGGTCTCGACAAGTTGCCCAGGTCGGTCTTGAACCCCTGGGCTCAGGCAATCCTCTCCCGCTTCCCAAAGTGCTGGGATTACAGGCGAGAGCCACCACACCCAGCCAACTTTATTCTTTAGAGCAGTTTTAGATACATGGTGAAATTGTACAGAGTTCCCCCATGCTACCTTTACTCCCCCCAGTATCCTCGGTCTGTTCCACCCCCACCCCTTCATCCCTGGCAACCACTGATCGTTCTACCGTCTCCATAGTTTTGGCTTTTCCAGAACGTCATAGAATTGGAACCCCACCATGCCCATAGGCACCCTTTTCCGCGGAGTGGTTTCTGTCACTTGGCAACACATATGGAGGTTTCCTCCATGGCTTGATAGCGCATTTCATTTGGGGGCTAAACAATACTGTCTGCATCTACTATGGTGTGTCCATTAAAATGCTGAAGGACCGTATTTTGGTTGCTTCCAAATTTTGGCCAACTATGCAGAACGCTGGTGTAAACATCTGTATGCAGGCTTTTGTGTAGCTGTGTTCTCGACACACTTGGGTAAATCCCAAGAAGCTCATTTGCTGGAAAATATGGTAAGAATGTGTTTCGCTTGAGACGCTGCGGGGTCTCCCACAGCGGCTCCCCCATACTCAAGAGTTCTGCCGCTTCATCCTCTCCTGCGTGTGGTGTTCGTGCTACAGACCTGGGCCGTCCTCACAGCTGTGGGGTGATGCCTCACTGTTGTTTTAATTTCGGCCATTTTTAAACAACTATTCTTCACTTTTTCCTCTGTGGCTTCTTAGGTGTTATATTTTAAAATTTTTGCAGAGCGAACTATAAAAGTCAGCGATCTTTTTCTATTATTAAAAATGATTTTGCTGGGCACAGTGGCTCACGCCTATTATCCCAGCACTTTGGGAGGTGGAGGCGAGGCGATTGCCTGAGCCCGGGGCGGGGAGGGGGGGTTGAAGTCCAGCCTGGGTAACTTGGTGAGACCTCATCTCTACAATAAATCAAAACAGTAGCCAGGTATGGTGGCATGTGTCTGTGGTCCCAGCTACTTGGACGGCTGAGGCGGAAGGATCACCTGAGCCCAACAGATCGAGGTTGCGGTGGCCGTGAGTGTGCCACTGCACTCCAGCCTGGGCGACAGAGTGAGACTCCGACTCAAAAAAAAAAAAAAAGATTTATTTCCAAACATTTCTTAACAATAACTGCTTTTTTCCTTTTACATACAGATAAATGCAGAGGGAACACCAGAGGAAGTTTTTCTTCAACTCTGCGCAGCTATGGACTCTATTTTCTGAAGGTGAAAACGCATCCTTGTTAAGGAGAGTGGAAACAGAAACACGAACAGCTTCACCCCTCGACACGACACGTTGCGAGCTAAGCCTTCTGTGTGTCCCCGAATCCCTCCACCGCTGTTGCTTCCCAGCTAGACTTGTGTGAGGTGTCTGGATGCCATGCATGGTGTGTTTGGGGCGCTCACCCTTTCTTCACCCTCAGACAGCCGTCTGCACTCAGCACGCACACCTGAGTCACGTGGGCACACCTGAGCTAGTCTGTACAGGACTGCAGCGCGGTTGCCCGCCTGTGGCCGGGGTGCCTCCGGGCCTTGCTGGAGTCTGACCACTTAGTTATCCTCTCATCAAGCATCCCTGACTCCCCGTCACATCTTCCCCTCCCCAAGGTGACACAGGGTGCAGGCCTGGGCCCCTTCCTCTGGCGGCTGGCACTGTCTCCTCAACTCTCACCCCCTAGGGGCTCAGAGCCAGAGAGTGGGTGGGTGGGACGACGCCATGTACATGATAGAGAGGCGGCAGGCAGGTCACATGCGATCGAAATCTCAAAATGTGAAATCATGTAGCTTTTCCAAGACCGCAAAATCCAGGTTGGTCATCTGTAACGTCCTGTTTTGGGACACTGGCTACTTGGGATACTGTCACAACGGCGAAGAGAACACGTTTGATAACGGTGTAACCTAGACCCCTCTCTACATGGTGGTGCATTCCAGCGATCATAAATTACGATCAATGACCAAGAGCAAGTTCAAAGCATAGGTGGTTCTGCTGTTGCATTCACCGGACAGAGACCAACTTAGAGTTTTGACTTTAAATGACCGCCCATGTACCCATTGCCAGGCAAGTAAAAATCACAAAACCGAATGGGGGGAGGGGCATGTCAGCAAGTGGTGCTGAGCCGATCTCGCGTCGTCCTTGTTCACATGGGCCCTTTCAGGGCTTTGCAAGCCTCATCATGCTCATCTGCAAAACTGTGTTTCTAGCATCAAATCGGTGAAGTTTGGGTTCTCTTTTGTGCTATCAGTCGTCAAGTCAGAGCTTCTTAGAGACTCATCTGGGATACCTGCATCCTGTCCACTCAGCCACTGCAAAAGTTTCCGTTTGCATGGGGTTTTTTTTGTTTTTTCCTTCAATGGTTGTGCAGATAGGGATCCATTGCTGGGACCGAATTGTATTTTTAAAGTCATCTTTTTCTTGAAATGGGTATGTACGAATAAAATAAATGGAAGACAGGATATCTCTTTTTCTATTTATTGGTAACTCACATCATTCTGGAAAGCATTCGAAGCCTTCTTCCAAACAGAATTAGAAGCAAACACAGTAAGAGTCAAGATTTACTGTTATAAATATCTGGTTTTAATGTTGGCCATAGATCAGTTTTGAGCTGTTACAGAGAGAACTGTAATGAATTCACGGTACATGGTAATTTTCATATTTCCTTTTTCTCAAGCACTCATTCTTAAACAGACATGTCAGTGTTTGCTGAAGAAATTCACTTTCTTTGGTTACAATTACGCCTCTATACAAAAAAGGGGGCGTGTCCCCACGACTCAAACAGTTGTCAAATATTTTATTACTACCCCAAGTCATCACACTCTCTGCAGGGAAGCATAAGGAGCATTTGAGCAAATTAGGGGGGAAAGGTCACAAGGTGAAAATTATCAGTTGCGCCAGAAAACACAAAATGACTCTTTGCGGGGATTAACATTCTTGCAACACATGTCACATCTTGACAAACACAGCCCATGCCTGCCACGGCCTTGGCGGTGCAGGTACGGAGGTGAGACGGCAGAGGCAGACAGGCCAGCCATGGCTTTGACAGTTGCAGCTGGCAGCCGTCTCGAAGACACTCAGTAGGGATATTGGCTTGGTCCCCCCAAGAGTGCCTGGAAGCGCAGAGCAAATCTACAGAACACATGACTGACTGGAATGGCTCGAAATGACACCATAACATCACTGCTTGATTTAAGATTTTAAAACAGGAAGAGACCCTAACGGCCTCTGCCTGGCACAAGACCTGTGTGTGTGTAGAAGACGTCAGAACTCAGCCGACGCTCCTTCACGATCACCTCTTTTCCAGGCCGCACCCAGGCCGGCCCGCCCCCTCTGACGCCATCAATGGCTGCTCTCTTGCTCCCTGGTCATTTTAGTGTTGCCTGAACAAGCCGAGCTCTCTGCTGGCACAGGGCCCTTGTCGCTGCCACCCTCCCGCCTCTTCCCAAAGGTTACTCGCACTGCCAGCGCCCCCACTCCAGGTCTCTGTGTGATCCGACCTTTGCCGTGGGCAACTCCTCTGATAATTCCGTCTAAGAGGGCGGGTTGGTCTCCATTCTCCCACCATTGCTTTTCTCCATAGCACTGATCCCTACCTCACACCCAGCAGCCTGGTCCCACATGTAACTGCGGATGCTGAGACCTAGCCTGCAAGGCTCTCTGTGCCTCCCGCATTCCCTGTATCCACGGGAGAACACCATAGTGCCTGACCCGGAGAGGCACTGTGAGGGCTGAATAGGTTAACAATCCGTGGACATCCTCCACCAGCTCCCGATGCTCCATGCCAGCTGGCTCATTGCCAACACTCATTGAGGGCTTCGCCTCTATCGTGGCGATGAGGACCCAGAATTTCTATTCCAGAGTCCTCTCCATTACATCACTCTAAAATCACGGCAGAGAATCAAGGTGCGTGGTCTGATTGGGGTTCCACGGAGGACCCACACCTTCCCAGGCACGCAGGCTTGAGCCACATCCTCGGGGTAAGAGAACTGGTTCCGCTGTTCCCTCACTGCCCTCTAAGGACCGCACAGACACACTTGGGCAGAGGTGGGGGCCCGACCTTCCTAGGGAAGAAAATGTAGCCCACCAAAGCACTGGCCATACACCCAAATATGTCTTGAGACTCTCTTAGAAGCCAGGCCCTAGAGATACAGACAGACAGGGATGGTCTCTCTCCTCACAGAGCTAAATGTGACATCCTTCACAGAAATCCAGTAACTTGCTTCAGGAACTGTGTAAGCAAAGTCATGTTTCTTTCTGGGATCATATACACAGAAGCGTGTTTTTCATCAACGTAAGAAAGGCAAACACTTTACAGCCTAGAAGGGGCAGTGCCTTCATCAGTTTGTGGGAAAACCCACAAACTGTGGAAGTCTAGAGACTTCCATCCAATGCACCTAGAACAGTGGACTTCCGACTTTGTTAGCCATGGTTAAGACATCACTCCGACAGCACGCCACACATGCTCAAAACGGAAAAAGACGGTTCACAAGAAAATACTCATCCCTACTACGCATGACGCATGCACCACTTTCTCTGTCACTGTTTGTGATGTTCCTCGCACCGCAGTGCAGTGAATCGTTGGGTTCTGTGACTTAATTTAAATGGACGGGGGAAGGGAGAAGCCTGGACAGGGCACCCAACATGCATAGGAAAGACCCCACAGGAGGAGGAGGCACGAGCCTCCGCTCAACTTTGCCCAAAGCCTTGGGACCGCCCGTTTGCTGCCAAGCTAGAATATGTCAATTATGTGTGTGTTTCTAATTCGCCACGGCACATTTCAGTGCTCTTCCCCTCCCACACACCAGCTTCTCCATCCCGAATCGCCAGCCTGGAGAGATGCTTAGGTGTGTGCGTGCTCCTTGGCCCACACCACACAAGGAAAGACATCAGGTGGCCCCACCCCCAGTGAGGTCTGACACCAAGGGAGGACAGAAGACAGGCGGATGCTGCCGCGGAAGTCATCCATCCAGGCTGGCGTCCCAGCACCACTAGGGCTAGATTCCTCATGGGAAAACAGGATAACACATGGACCCGCCCCTAGGGGTGCTGAGAGCTAAATTAGTTACTATATGCTTGCTTGGCACATAGTAAAGCACTGTATGAGCGTCTGCTGCAATTATGAGCACATCAACCAAAGAAAACCACCTCCAAGCCTTAGATGTTCTTAAGAGCTTCTTCAGTCATTAGCAAATAACTTGAGCATAATATATCAAGAAACAGATCTTACCCAGTGACTATCACTCAAGCACAGCTGTAGCAATAGGTCTCTTGCAGCATGTCGTGGCTTAAAAGGAGTAACAGCCCCACCCACTGCTGCAACCCACAAATGGAAACAACAACAAACACTGCCCACTGCTGGCCTTCAGGGCCTTCTAAGGCCATGGGCACTACTGCTTGGAGCCAGAAAATGCTAAATAAACACATCTTCTGCTCAAGCAGAAAATAATCCTTTGCCCTGGAGAAATGCATTCAAGGCGTCTGTCTAGTCTGTTTATATAAGAATTGTATCACTCACAGCCTTCTTCCAAAGCATACTTCATGCTTTATGGAATTTCTGAATGAATCCGAATGGTTCTCCAAAACTAACGGGCGCTTTTCTATGCAAACACGGAAACTACCATTCAGGGTGACCATCTTGCCTAACTGTGGGCTGACGGCAGGCCTTCTGGCACAGCCACGTGGCGCTTGAACAGCAAAATGCCCAGAACGCCTGCGATCCCCTCTTCTACCCTAGCAGTTCCATGTTAAGCTCAAGCCCATTCACTTTTCCTTCCGATATGATACATTGTATCTATACCTCAGTGATCTTTAATCAATATATTACTTTAAAATTCTCATATTTCTATATTTAAAATTCTATTACTTTTCTCAAATTAAAAAAACAAAACAAAACCTCAGGGTATGATTTTAGTACCCTGCTATGTCTTGAAGAGAATTAGTAAAAAAAATGTTCCCTTGATTAAAGCAGGGAAAAACAGATGATTCCAAAAACTAGGTCAGGTATAACACTTAATCTATCTTAGAATATTTGTGCTGTCTTTTCCTATAGTCAATAATTTCCAGGAAACAAGGTGATTTTCAAAAACCACATGTTTAGATATACAAGGACTTATTTTCATCAGAAAAAACAGCTGGAATGAAAATGTTCAACTTCAGTTTAATTTTCACATTTGGGCATTAATAACTGCCATTTTTTCCTTTAACCACGTTTCTTTGTTGTCAGCTCATTTTAGTGTTTTAGCACACACTGAGTAAAAACATTATCATTTTTTAC